CATTGGTATGAAAGACGAGCAATGTGAGGAAGAATAAGGCATTGCCTAGTTGGCGGGTAGTAGTTGGGGTGATAGAGGAAATAAGCATGGAGAGTGAAAAAGCGGACGAAGAAGCACAAAACACGAAAATGGTAACTAGTGGAAGTGAAAGAAACCAGGGATGAGCAGTCGGTCCAATGAACGATATCAGGAAGCGGGAACCTACGTGCTCTGCGTACTGCTCGAGAGTGTCAAAGTGCATCAAATCACGTAGAGACGAACTTGCGGAGGACGATATTAGAACAACAAAGAACCTGAGTACCAGAGTAGTAGTATTAGTAGTAGGGACGGTTGGCGAGTGTAGGTCTGGAGTAATCGACGGAACAGGCAAATGAGTATGAAGGCAATTGGAAGGCAAAATACGGTGGTCAGTTCACGTACCATCTGCATCATACAAACATGAACCGGGGAGGTGTAGTGGTCTGAGGTATCGGGGAGGGCGTACATTTTAGCTAGTAAGGGAGGTCGGGGATGATAGAAATACAGATGAACCCCACAGGCGCCCTCCCTGGGCTGATGCATCGAGTTGAAGGGCTCCGGGCCAACTGAGGACTTGATGACCGGTGAACCACTTGACCAGTCTCGAAGCTGTTGCCCTGGTTTTTCGAAAACAGTGACTGAAGGAGATCATTTAAATCGAGATCGGAACCGAGATCGCCTCGAGCGTCCGAGACAGCCGCAGCATCTGGAGAGGATTGGGTGAGAGTGAAATTCGTGTTTAATTCGAACTACTAATTTTGTATGAGTAGACGACTTTTAAGGAGAAATATGGGGCAATGCACGCGACAGAAAACGAGTATTCTTCAGAGCCCAAATAAAAGACGAGCGGTCACGTTGCCCTTTACTACAAATCCAAAAATGGTATGCACATACTGTCCCTCACTTTGAGTTGTCGGTTATTTGTGGGCTGGGACGAGGAAATAGCCAGAACAAAGCGGGTTTTGTGACCACTTTCTAATTACGACAAAGTTGTACACTACCATCAGCATCAGCAGCGCATCAGTGGTGAACTCCGAAAATGAAATCAAAGGAGGATGTGGGCAAACCTAATACAAGCACATCCATACAGTCATTCCCTACTGACATGCGTGAGCAGGTATGTCCTGCACTACCTCTGGCCGGGCACGAGAAGCACCACATAGAACCCATCCGGGAAGAGAATGTGTCAAGACGGGAACCATGGGTCATGCCATCTTGTTCAACGTACTACCTCCCTCCACAGATACACATAGTTTATGGTGAGGTGTCCTTCGGCATTACTACTGGTACTCGCGTTGTTTTAATCAACTGGTGTTGACTGATCCACTGCATCGAAAAATTGCAGAATTTTGAGCTTCCCATTAACTGTGTGATTACTTGGTACTATCGAGATTTTGTCCGATGACAGAAAGCCTGTGCTGAGAAGTGCTCCAAGGCTGGCTTCAATTATAGAGGATGAGACAAGAAAAAAACTTGTAATGAGAAAACGGAGAATCAGACACCTTCATCTTGTTGTCAGGCAGTAGAATACAGACGTTATTAGTGTCCACACCTGGCGATAATAAGTCTTGGCCAAGAGGGGCTCAACAAACAATCTTGAAGTCGGTAACAAAGAATGAAGTCATCATGCCCACGAAGAACGAAGCGTTGCGTAAGTGACTTACCTGTCCGAAATATGGCGAAATTACAAACCAGAAATAATACAACCAGACAGAGCCGGCTTTGGATCTCCCGGATTCATACTTCAAGGAGTTCGAACGACCAATAAAAACAACGGGCTAAATGGCGAATTTCCGCTCATCAACTAAAATACACAGTGACCCTACTCCAGACAGGTCCAGGAAAATCGATCAAATTGAGGAAGATGGATATGAACATGAGGAAGTTGCAGTAATCCTCCAAGACACAAGCTTCAGGAGTGAAGCGGTCGCCACGGAAAGTTTACAACGATGTTCCATGTCAACAGCTTCCCAATGTGCGCCAAAGGATGCCAAAAAAAGAAAACAAATTCCCCCTTACCAGATGGGGAACAGTAACAGCGACAAGTGGCGCTTAACAGCAGGGATA